GGTTTACCTGAAATGGGCAATGACAGATGGCTTACAGATCATAAAGAACAGATTTTTTCCATTATGAAGAAAATGGTATAACAATGATTGATACCAACAACAAAAGCTTAGGTGATATAAGTTAATAGTACGGTTCTTCAAGGTCAGATCAAATAAACAGAATGGTCCACAAGGGCACAATGGACCACGAGGCCCAACCCGCTTTGTTTTGTTTTAAATTTGTACCCCTTTGTGAGATAACTTTTGGATTTTTTGTTTTGCTTTTGCAAACAAAGGCAAATCACGGACAGGCTTCTACGAAAAGTACGGGGGTTTTTTTTTTTTGTGTTTTTTACGAACTAAAAGAAATCAGGGGAGAACGGAGAGAGAACGAGAGAAACAGAGATTGAGACCATGATACCGATAAAATAGAGAGAGAGAGAGAGATCAAGAAACATAGAGAGACTGAGTGAAAATAGAGAATGGGAGAGAATATCAAGGTTATTGCAAAGTTTTAGGGCTTTTCTGAAGACGGGGAGAGAGAGAGAGAAGCAGATCACACAGAGGGAATAACCACGAACTGTTGCAGTAGCACCTTCGAAACCAGAGATACTAAGAGCAGAGAAGCTAGCTCTTATACTATGTGAGAAATTGTATTTCTATATATTTGAGCCTTAAGCCCCTATGGAGGATGTATTACAGAGCTTATCATAGATGTGAACAAGAGCCCTAATTTATAGAGTTACGAAGTTGTATACTACTAAAGCAAGTAACACATGAAATAAACCACCTTCCTAATATGGGTACACATAAAAAAAATGAAAATATTGTACCAAAAAATAAGTGCAGGTTTCTATAATTTCCATATGAAGTAGTAAAAACAAGATATGGGGACTTATAGCGTCATTAAGGGAATGGCCCTTAATAGAACTGAATGGCAAACCATGATTCATGTAGCCGACTGAGAAAAGGCTTTGATGATGATGACAATAATGATCAGTGCTTTAAATACAAGACTCGATCCCCTGCTATGCTAAGCCGGATTCTGATCCAGCTTGAGCAAGTCGACCCACCCCATAGTAGAATGGTCCTAAAAAAAAAAGCTAAAACCATCAAAAACAAATCCTAAAAATAGTATTTATGTAGTTTCACACATAAATTGATGAGCATGATACTTATCATGGATATGATACTAATTACAATATTATATAAAGTTATCAAAAAATAGCATTATTTCAAATAAATAGAGTGTATTTTTAAAAAAAATAAACAATGAGAATCAAAATTTGGAATCTAAACAAATTTTACAAGTAAAAATTACAAAAGTGCAAATCATTTCCTAGATAAAATGGATTTGCCTAAACAAAAGGGATTGTATACTATGAGACCATTTATTTCTGGTGCAAAGAGGTCACAATAATTTTTAGCCAATGGATGTGAGATCCAATAAATGAAAGTGTGTCACAACATTCAAAAAAAATTATTTTGAACTTTGCACCCAAACAATGGCACACCCTCAAAAACCTGATTTCAAATTTAACAGTTAATGATGATTATGACCTCTTTATTTCAAAAGTAAATGGTCTCATTATATACATTTCCAACAAAATGAATACAAGCTCTAATTAATGAAAATGATGCATCGAGTTCTGAAAAAGAAAGTGCGGTGGGGGGAGGGGAAACCAATTTTTAATCTTCCAATTTGAGAGAATTAATGGATTAGATATAAAATGAGACAAATTCCAAATAAATCATAGGCAAAAGAGGAGGAAACTTGAGCAAATGGAGAATCAAGCTTATGGAAAAGAGGTCCAATTTTCGTGGTTCTGATTTATGAGAATACGGGATTTGATCCAAAACTTTTTATTACGGACATTGAGCTTCTCATTCTCCTTTGTTAGAGATGTTGTAGATCAATGATAGGAAGACAAAATGGGAACAATAATGGAGTAATCATATGAAAAACTAGGGAAATATCTGAAAAATAGTGGATCGGATCTCAAATGCAAGAAAAAATAATACAAATTCCATATAGAGATTTCAAATATTTTTTATTTTGATGTAGAAAAAAATTGTTGTAACCAAGGTTTTAAAAATTGGTGATCCAGATTAGATCCAGCTAATCCGGATTGAGAATCGGTCAAGCTGATCATGGTCCCACTAAATATTAGGAACTGGCCGGTTTCCGCATGAACCAGCCAGTTCGGTCATAGAACCGGTCCTGCTTTATTTTTTTTTTATTTAATTCTTTATTCCCCAGCTCACTAGGCTAAATAATCGATCTAAACTGTCAATCCAGACTGGTTTTTTAGAAAGGGATCCGGATCACGGAACCACGTTTTTAAACCTTGGTTGCAATTGTTATGATCAATGATAGATGAACAATTTGTAACAAATTTGTCAAAATTTGCTAAAATAACGAGAGAAATCAAAAAATTTTGATTTCGACATAAAAAGTTACAAAAGAAACCTCAAAGAAGGTTTGTAGCATCACCCCGTTCTCAAGAGAAACAATGATGCCGAAATCTACTCAAACCTCCATATATAAAAGATAAATAATCTTTTAGTAGACAATCCCTTTTTCAGGATTGTAGACTATTTATCTTTTGTACATGGAGGTCACAATCATCCCAATTAGAAGTATCCATTGTACCTAGGAGGATCTAACATCTAACGCTTTAGGAGGATCTAACATCCAACACTTTTGTTGTTAGATGTTAGATCCTCCTAAGTAGAATTGATCCTTCGAATTTGGATGATTGTAATATTCATGTACAAAAGATAAATGGTCTCTTTGTAGACAATCTCGTACAAAGGAATTGTCTACAAAGAGACTATTTATCTTTTGTACATGAAAGTCACAATCATACTCACTCATTAGATATCAAATTAGATGGCTTGGGGTGAGTCACAAAGTCCAAGAATTATTTTTTTGAAACTTTCTGTCTATTCAATGACACTCATACAACCACCCATTTTAAAATTTAAGAGATAAGAATGATTGTGACCTCCATGTACAAAAGATTAGCGATCTCTTTGTAGACAATAAACTATCATTAAAATGATCTAACATCCCATTTTGAAATTTAAAGAACAAGAATGATTGTGACCTCCATGTATAAAAGATAAATGATCTCTTTATAAAACCCCTTATGAAAAACAATGAACGGACACTAAAAGGATCTAACATCCCAATTTTAACATCATAGTGTTTCTTTTTTTTTCATTACAATTCGTACACCTCAAAACTATCTTAAAAAATAGCAACATTGCCTTGTTCAGGATTCGAACAAGCAGGGGCATTCTAGTAATTTAATCTACCCTAGAGAAGCATAGGTATTCCCATCACCATTGACCTTTCAGGTTACTGATTCAATGGTAGGAACAATTGAGGCATTCTTTAAGATACTTTTTGCGGAAGTATCCGAATAAAATGAAAATTAAAAAGACAATTATTTCGTTATATATTTTGGCCTAACTTGATAAATTTGTAAGGGGTTTCAATGAATGTGATTTTTTCTTTATTTTTATTATGGGTGTGGTTTGTATAAAATTGTAATTTTAAACAATCAAATTAAGATGTGCTCCAAATTTTATCATAAAATTAATTTTGATGTCAAAAATTCTTAAGATGGTATAAAAATCTATTGTAATCTCTAATTATAAAACTTTAAACTCCAAAAATAGTTCACATCAAGTAGATCCATAAACACAATAAAATTTTGAAAATAGACTGTCCAGATAATATGTTGCAAAATACACTATTTTTGAGACTCGAAATCTTTTTTTCTTTTCATATTCTCACATCTCAATGTTTAGATGATCAATTAGAAAATTTTCCAACATTAGAACAATCTTTTATGATGGATTTTTGAAGTGCACCTTAATTCTACACTTTAAAGTTACAACCTAATATAAATTTTTTCCTCATCATATGGAAAAGCATACGACGAGTAGCGATAATTGTGAAACAGTAATTCATACCGTCCTAATCCGTTAAATACATAAAACGACTGCTAGGGATATCATTCAGTCAGCTAGACTTCTTACGAATTTCTAAGCCTTTGACCATAAAAATAATACTTCAGGCTGATGCCTCCTATACCACATGGCTTGGAAGGTATGAATTACGGTGCATATGAAGTAAGCTATAGACAGTTGATGTAAATTATTCCCCTTCAGCATTACGATCCATGGTCTAGTGGTTAGGACGTTGGACAGTAACCTGAGTTCGATGAAACCTTTACTCTTTTTAAAGAATGGGCTCAAGGCTAGGTAGTCAGGGTGGCAAGGTCTGGTGGTTATGTCATCGGACAGTAACCTGAGTTCAAATCTTGGTGGAACCGTTATATTTTTTAAGAATCAGCTCAAGGCTAGGCAGAGACGGTGGCAAGGCGCATCAACGTATCTTAAGTTCCACATCCACCATTGGGCAGAGGTCCCCTTCCCTGTTAAACTACCAAAAGATAAAAATCATAGCAAATGAAATTTTTGTCTAATTTTGCCTGAACTCAACAAAAAATCAGCACCAAGTTGCAACAGATCCATCAGATGGCATCAATTCACATTGGATTGATCTCAAATCTTGTTGCCTGCATCTATCGGGCCAATACAAGCACACATATTTATTAAGCACATTTCAGGATCGAAACTCTAATCGATACTCAGCACAGGTGTGGTATTGGGTACTAATTACCCACAATCCATTGTCTACACTTATCCCTGTTCCCTGCATGGTGGAGATGAGTAACTATTTCTACTTAAACACAATGGTAGCTTTTTAACAACAGGAAACAGCAGTTAGAGGGGAGGGGGGGGGGGGAAAGCAACAGCAGAAAACAGCTCATCACCCTCGCAATGGGCAAACACAATGGACGCCAAATCTGAGTACCAAACCTTTGACCATTTTAGAAGCTAGAGCAGCAGCAGATCACATTCTTAAGTGTCCACCGGAAAGTAAAGATGCCCACCATGCAAGCACAGGATTTCGATTGACTGCATCCAATTTCGAGGAAAAGACATACCAAGGCAATTCTCTTTCACATAATCGGATTGATAAAAACAAAGAAAATAAACAATAGGGTCAAGAGCCGTACAAACAAGTCAATTAATACGCCACAACACTAACTACCAAAACTGTGTCGGTCCTGAATGTCTCAGTAACCCTAAGAGGGATCCAAAATCGCAAAAATAAATACCAAAGAACAAAGAGGAAGCAAAAATAAAGCCCAGAAAGGACAAAAGGCAATGACACCATAGTAATATCTCCAATTTTCATTTCTTCTCCAACTACTCATGTGTTAAAAGACTGCATCATCATCCGGTAAATCTTCAACCCTCTGCAGCGATTTCACTTTTCTCACCACTGCACACAGAGCCAGTAAGCACATTAACAACTAAGACAGTAATATCATTACAAGAAATAGAGCATTCAAAGACAGTAATATGATTACAAGAAATAGAGCATTCAAAGACATGAACACAAAGGCATAAGCTCTTCACTTGAACATAAAATTTGAAATCCTTACTCCACTACCAGGGATAATCATCAGTTGAATTTTTACAGTTCCAAGAAACAATTCATCCATGTTTGATCTACTGCGGATCTATGGCAAGTAGCCCTCGCTACTGCATCTGGATGAAGCCAAGCCCCCATAAGCATATCGACCCTAATTACAAAATTCTTCGGCCCATAAAACCATACCCTTCACTAAAATTTGATTTGGGGTTAGGAACCTTGACGAGGGTTTTGGTTGGGCGCATATACACAGACCCCTGATGTTGTGAAAGGATCACATAGCTTTTTTTGTTTTTTCCCCATCATTATAGTTCTAGGTTAATCCTTCATGTCAGACATGTCAACAAGGCTGTCAGAGTACGAATGAGCCCAACATGTAGGGACAAAGTGTCAGGCCCATGATAGGCAGTATCAACTGCCTACGCATGTCAACACGTGACATGGAGGCAAAACTGAAGTGCCAGTGTAACATTGATTACAAATAAAAATAAATCGTAATAATAATACATTACAGATCATCCCACATTATTACTATTATTATTAGGAATTCAAACACACATAACAGATCTAGGTATTTCCAATCCTCATACTACCGCACTTGCACATCTAAGTGTGCGTCCTGGCTATGTAGATTAGTAGTTGAGGCCCTCGGCCATCATTGTCAAGGACAATATAGGCGGACTGGTTTCTGGGGGTAATATCCCCCTCCAATGACCCATATTTGAGTAATTTCAGTCAGGAATATCTTTGTGATTAGCACAGTGAAACAACACCCGAGTTATAGATAACATACTGCAGCACAAGCCAAATGGCCAGACTAAACCAATGTCCAGATAGTTCAAGTCGAGTTGAAACTCACACGTAAGAATGACTTCATTTAACTAGAACCAGCTAGGGTCAAGTCAAACCAAGTTCACTTTAACACCGGAATAAAGTCAGCAAATCAACCAAACCCAAATAAAATGAAATAAAAGGATATATGTATTCTTTCTAGAAATCAAACCATCCATATGGGAAGTCTAGCACAAAAAAAGGAACCCCAAAACCAAACTGTGCAGCCCAACACCCAATGTTGCAAGGATCCTTATATTTGAATGTTGGACATGTGTCGACACCCATACTGACATGGACTCTTCTTGTTCCTTGACCACGGACTACATCATTGACATAGACTAAGGTCCCTCTGGGCGCACTAAGAGTAATATGAAAGAAATAGCCCTGTTTACCTAACCTGTAGGACAATCCTGAAAGGTCATCCTAGGCAGACATATTCATATCACAGAAGACCCATCTCTTGGGAACAGAGGTGTTTTAGGGATGTTTTGCAATAAGCACTGTTACGAAAAATAGCCTCCCCTGTAAGAAGTAGTAGAACAAGCTGCAATGCCTATCACCTTTAATGAGTGTATGAGAAAATGGTGTCATTGCTGAAATTTCCTATGCTGAATGGACCTAGACCTTTTTTCCTGTTTTCTGTAACACAATGGAGCTTTGTATGGATTAGCCAACTAAGGCATAATTATCCCTTTGGCTATCATCATGAAGTGGAATATCAATAAACAATGACAGATTTTATTTTCTCTTTATTAAATGGCAATGTCATCAAGTCCTGTTCAGGGATCAGAGACCTAATAACTATGTCTTACATTAACACAAGTACCCATGCAACATAGCACACAATTTGCAAATGAAGATGTAAAATATCAGAACAAGAGATGTCAATAATGGAACACTAAATCATAATGACCTTTGCTATCTTCAAAACTACTCAGAGAAATTGCAGTAGTCACTAAATAATTTTATTTTTTTTTATTTGATGACTATGATGGAACAGATTTAGGTCTAAAAGCACACAAAGGCTCACATTTCATATAATGGTAATAATGTATTGCAAGGACAAGAAGGAGATTACTAGGCTTTACTCATCAATAAATCAATAAGATTATGAGGATTGATCATCACAAAGAAACTATAGGAAGGACCTATTAGACAAAGCTACCCATCTTGTAAAAAGGTAAGGAAGGGTCGCTATAGGCTTCCAAAGGTCTAGCAAAAAATTAGAAAACGAGAAACTAATAAAGCACGAATGCGCACCAAAATTTTACTTCAAAACAGACCACACAAGAAAACAGGGGAACTGCCCAATTCGCATCAAAGACATTTATAATGCCACCAAAGGAAGAGAAATTGATGCTTTTCGATTGGAAGTGGGCACCCACACAACCTCAGGTCATTTCTTGTCAAGAACCATCACAGCACCACCATGGAAGAACAATCCTGCACCGCCACCACCATAACCCCTCTCACCCAAAAATAACCAACAAATAATTCGTTTTATCATTATTTGATAAATAAATGATTTAAAACCATCGTTACATGGGTACTTCAGTGTTACCTGGGTGGTCGTGTGTCAACACATGTTACCCAACATGGGGCCGACACTTTATCCATGTATCGAGCTCATCAATACTTTGACAGCTGTGTCAACATGCCTGACACGTAGTGTCGACTTACCAGACATGGCATGCCCTAGTATCAACAAATAGTAGTGAAGTATTCTGTTCTTTAAATTTATTTTTATTTAATATAAATTTCACTTTATTTATTCCTTAAGGATGGGTGTCTAGAAACTCTACTTAAACATTAGGATAGATGTCTCGAAACTCCGCTTAACATCATTCCTAACGTTCGAAAACCAAAATGATGTCCCATTTTAAAACTTCATTAATAAATCAAGTAATTTCATTGCCTTTATTTAGTCTAGAAACTCCAGTAAACCCAAACTCTAGTACATAGGGAACCCTAGTTAAAGGTGTTTGATGACCTTGATTCCAATAACTGTGGCAAATCGTGATTGAGAGCACCAAATACATCGATTCCAATACCTAGGGAACCCTCATTTAGGGCAGTCCAGGACTTCAATTCCAATACTAGGAGAAACCTGGCCAAGCTCACTGAATACTTCGATTCCAATAATAAGGCATTCTTGGTCAAGGACACTGTAGAACCTCAAACCTTTGCCTTGTGGAACTGGTTCCTTGATATTACTAGTGTGGTTCCAAGTGTTGGGAGCGCGATTCCGAAAAGGTAGGAATCTTGAATCATGAAATTTGCATTGTATGGATGGCACTTCCTACCATTGGAAGCTTCGAACATCTCACAGTTCCCTGCTTCCAATTCCTAAAATACTCCCTGAATACTCCCACTTTGAACAACAATGTTAAGGAGAACCCGCAGTAACACTCAAGAGGTTGCAAAATAACAAACTCCTTGTCACAACGATAAGCACTCAAAATCCAGTACATAAGAAACTTGCACATTCAATGATCACAAAGCAAGGGCCAGGAATCCCCTTTTTCATTCTTATTCCTTTCTTCGCTCCCCTCTATTAACACCCTTTTACTTCTGCCCAACTCCTGCCATATGTTCAGTATAAGTTTTTGTGTTGTACAGATATCTTCTTGTCTGAACCTCATGCAACTTGATCCACTAGGTTTTGTGAATGATATCTTGACTACATAAGAAAAAGGAAACAGCCATGACTCTTAAGAGTGCAAAGCATCACTCAGGATACAATGAGGGAAAATCTTTGAACCAACTATAAAGAATTGGATACCAAAGCATTTATGTTATCAGGACTTCCTAGACCCCTAGCTTTACATATCTCTTATCTAGGTTAATTTACTAATGATTTTCTTTTTGGTAGTTCTAGTTAGAGTAGTCATGGTCAACCAACACCTAGCTTTACATGACCAACACCAGTTTGTAGAGAACAGTTATACAATATAAAAGATTAAGAATCTCTTATCTAGTACGTAAATAATGCTTTAATTCCAGTCTACACTCCTAAGAAGAAGATTCTGGTCCTATCACCTTATATCTACTTCATTTAATGCAGAACCTAGACAAAATATCCCTCCCTGCTTATATATTATTATTTTCATACGAAACAAATTTTAAGTTCTAATGAATTCGAGTATAACGAGAATAATTGACAAATACAATGCATGGCTATTCCCAACAGGACTCATGGAGTTTCTCAAAGCAAGAATCTCCATATTCAGAAGGTGCAAGCCTTCCTTGTTATTATCTTGACTCTTGAGTGGCTTCGAATCCCCATATAACTTTGTGAATGCCTTCACATTGTATAGGAATTGGTCATTTCACAGTTTACCATATAAATAAATTACTGCAGATACATCTGGTGACAGAATACTAATCATGGTAATGGTTCTCCACACCTTAAATATTTCCTTAAAGTTACGAGAACACACTGACAATTATTGCTATGTAAATGCAAGCATGGTGAAGAACACCTATAGAGAATTGAGGTAAATGAGAACAAGCCCCTCAAACTTCTCTCAAGAAGAAAACTTTCAACTATGAAAATCTCCAGTGCCCATTGTTTTAATGGGCTACATCTTTCTCACATGGAATTCTCAATATCAGATATATGCAGAAATATCAAGAGATATATGCAGCTCAAGTTCCATCTTAGCATCTCTAATTCAATCAAATCAAAACCTTAAAGCTCTAACCTATTTCATAAAATCTAAATCCTAAACCTTCTAAACAACTTTGGTATAAATGTTCCCATGTTATCCAAATAATAAATCTTCTACAAGATCAGGAGTCCAATAACTTAGGTATAAATCTTCTCATACAATGTAAATTTCAAGTGTCTGGAGTCTGCAGACACTAATTTGACTGATTCATCATAGACTTCAAAATACCATAAAAGTCTAAGATACTTCAAAACCCCCATTGCTAGCTTAAATAACTCAAAGTCACTTCAGGTGAAGTCCGAATACCACAAATATCTATAAACAAAACCTGCTGATATTTAACAAAACAAGCAAACAATACATAAGTTATAAAATCCTCCAATATATATGTCCACTCAGAACTAACACTCAAAGATCAACATATACAGAATAAATACCCAAAATAATTCGACTTCAATCCAGCATCCCGGGAGAGCCTAGATGGAAAAGTAATATAAAAAAATCATATGAAGATATCCCCATCCATTTGAGCAGTAAAGCAGTTATTACAAGAATTTTCATTAGACAAACATTAGCTATTGTGTGATTCTTCACCTGTACCTAAGATTTCAAATGTAAATTCAACAGAATAAGCAATTCAGTTGTTACCAAAGAGCAAGTAGTTGAACATCATAAAACAAGAAAAATGAAATAGACTTTCAGGAAACAAGAGAGAGATACAGAACGAGAGAATTAAAGATACAGAAAGAGAGAGAGAGAAAGAGAGAGAGGTTTAGAGAGGGAGGCAAGCTTACCCTGAAGCCACCTCAATGGGTTCTGGCTTCCTCCAACTCCGCTCGGTCCTTTCCCTGGCCATGCCCCCAACCCCATTCCCCATCCCAAAAGGCCTTCTAATAAATCCCCCCTCCCCACCTCTCTCCACTGAAACCCCATCCGATAACTCCTTATGGACCGTGTCTTTAATCTTCATTGAATCCAATTGCTCAGCAATCTTCTTCCAGTCCTGACCCTTCTCTGCCAGCACCTCCTCTCTTGGCCTCGCTTCACCAAAAGGATTGCTCACTTTCGCCCTCGGCTGCAGCACCACAGGCCCGTCCCCCTCACCCAAAGGATTGCTCACTTTCGCCCTCAACTGCAGCACCACAGGCCCGTCCCCGTCACCCACGGGCAAAGTCCTTGGCTGCAAAACAAGCCTCGGCCTCTGTCCCCCCTCCTCTCTCTCTCTTTGACAAGAAGAATCAAAACGGGAGCCCACCCTCGATCCCTCTCTCTCTCTGTAATTCTCGAACCCCCCACCTGATCTTCTCGGCTCCACTGAAGGAGCAAAGCTCTTTTTTGCCGATGTCCAGTTATCCACCTCATCAGCCAATGACTCTCTCTCCCTAAAATTCTCAAATCCACCTACCAATCTCCTCGGCTCCATTGAAGGCACAAAACTCTTCTTCGAGGCCCCCCAATTGTCAGATTCATCCGCTCTCGATTGCGAATCTGAGAAGAAGTTCGAAGAGCGCCGCTCCTGAGATGCAGGCGGCGCCATCTGCCTCTTTGTGGCACCCCAGTCATCTATCTCATCTGCCCGGGATGGAGGCGGCGGCATGCGACCGCCACGTGCATCATCATCAAACGCTTCACGTCGCGGCCCTCTGTCAGCGCGGTCGCGACCATAGGATTGAAACCCTCCACCGAGAGACCCTCTGCCGCGCTCAAGCTCTTCAGCAGTCCGCTCCCGGGGGCCTGTCGGCAAGCGGAGCAACTCATCGGGGGTCAAGCCCCTCGACGAATCAATGATTGCAGACCTTGGCTTCGCGCTATAGGCGACTTGTTTGCCGGTGGTGAACTCAGCGAGAGAGAGGGGTTGACTTTTCTTCTTCTTCGAGGTTTTCGCCGATGCCGCCAAGGCTAGAGAGGGAAAATCAGACTGGGGTTTCTCGGTCGTCTTCTGTGCCGCTGGTGGTGCTTCTGCTTCCATTGATTCGCTCTCTTCGGATTCCAGAGCCCAGGCTCCTGGTTTCGCCCAAGCTGATGTCGTCATTCTCTCCTTTTCTCTCTCTAAGATTTTCTCTCTCTAGATTGCTGTGGATCTCTGCAAATAATAAGGAAACTGGGAGGAAGCCATGTATTTAAGGACGGAGGGAAGGGAGGCGTGAGAGATAATGACCTGAAAAGCCCGGAATGTTTCTTAAATGACGTAGGAAACCTATCCTCTTTGGTGCTTATGGTCTTTGTCTAATGGTGCGGTTTGTATAAGGCCGAGGCCCTAAATAGTTAAAGAAAGGCTCACCTTGAAATAGTCTTGGAAGATGTTTCAATAGCGAAATTTGTTGTGATAGCTTAAAATTTTATTTATTGGATTTAGTGCCATCCAAAATCACCTATATGAGAAATTTCATGTTTTGTGGGATTAATTGAAATTGATCAATATTATATGGGATTGAGAGATATTCGAATATTATGTGGGATTGAGATTTATATTGATAAGTTTTCTAAAAGATATAGAAATCCAAAAAAAATTAACACTCTTAGATATATCTCTTTAGTTTGATATATATGTAGCATTTATAGGAAGTTTAATATTTTGTATTGATTTCTAACCTTATATATATGGGATGAAAGTGTATAGAATTGGAGTCATCGTGTGGGAATGATAGTTCCTCTAGTGGTTCCTCAAGAGAGATAAAATTTCGTGTATAAGATACAATTTCTTCCTAGGCATAAGATGCAATTTAGTCATAAGATTGCAATTTTGTGTATAAAATAGCTTCTTATAAAGAGAAACCTTTTAGTTTTCTCTTTACTCTCGCGTCTCTATCTGGTGTTGTCGATAACAGTTGCCAAAAATAACGAGGAAGAAGGAAGAGTGGTTTAAAATGGTTTGATCTATCTGGTGTTGTCTGTAACGGTTGCCATAAATAAAGAAAAAGCAGAGATAATGGTTTAAAAGGGTTTGGTCTATAGGTATTGTCGGTAATTGTTGCCAAAAGTAAAGAGAAAGTAAGGAGAGTGGTTTAAAAGGGTTTGCTCGCTGTATTTTTGTCGAGATTTATCCAAAGATTTTGTTCTAAAATATTTGATGTAACTTTCATTGCTATAGTGGATTTATGTTTGTCTTGCCCGATGTGGCCCTTTTGAGATGAACCAAATAAATATGTGTATTCTTGTTGTATGTGTTTCATGCTTTATTTCTCATACTTTATTTGTCAAATATTAATCCATTGAATTTAAACCTTCCGCACACAACATTATTTTCATCTCTAATTGTAAAATTTAAAGCTTCAAAATGAGTGTAGATCGAGTAAATCTATGAACAATTGGAAAACTTGAAAATTCATTATGTCCAAAAGTTATGTTTGTACATCTTGATCGAGTAAATCTATGAACAATTGAAAAACTTAAAAATGCATTATGTCTAAAACTTATGTTTGTACATCTTGATGTCGAGATCCTCAATCTTGAGGATTTTTCGGTACTGAAACAATTCTTTTAATAAATTTTTGATGTGCGTCTTAATTTGATTGTCTATGGCCTCGCCTTTATACACACTTTTTACTTGTTTAATATTTTGAGGACTTGAAATGGTAATGAATAAGACACACGAATATATGCGTTTATTGGGAATCCTAATCGGAATTGAAGACTTTATAAGTAGCGTGAAATTGTATTATGTGGTCTTTTTTTTTTTTCTTATGGATTGATTTTTTTTGGTTGGGTGGATATATCTTTATAGTCCAGTTTTTTATAAAAAATTTATGAAAAATATATTTAATTTTTCAATTATTTAATATTTTTTATTTTTAACTATTCCAACTTAAAAATAAGTGTATTTTTTAAGCATTTTAAAATTAAATTAATAGAGATAAATAAAGTATTAAATAATTAATATCTTTACTACATTTTATCAAATTTCTATATAGAGTTTATGTGATCCTATTTGGTTAGTGGTTTAAATATATCTCTAATCTACTACTTGTCTAAAAGCCTATCTCTAATCTACAACACGTCTAAAATCCTTGTTTCTAATGGCTATGGGACACAAATAATGATGATGATGTGTTGTTGTCCTAATCATGATTCTTCGTTTAATTTTATTTAAAATTTGTTGGGTTGGGCTGTATTTGGCCCAAGCCCAACAAATATAATCCAATAAACAAATAAGAAATATAAAATAAATAGTTAAGCTGGGTTGAACTTGGCAGGCCATGAGGGTACAAGCTCGGGCGGATTGGCACCAAACGTCATGGCCACATTTGTTACCAGACTTGGTTTGTAAAGCCGGGCACGGAAAGGTACCCGGCCCATTACAGAAGCTACAAAGTTTGCCGTCGGCAATTTTGGTTGTTTAACCTTCAAAAATAAAGTTGGCAATTTTGGCTATTTAACGTAAAAAAATAAAGATTATGGGGTGTTTGAGTTCGTTTTAGCTTTTGAAAGAAACAGCCCCATCTTTTCTCCATATGATCCCTAAGGATAACTTAGCAGCTAAGGGATGTGGAAGTAAACTATAGGTCCCCGTGACATCGCATAAAAAGCATCAATTTAATATTAAGGTTAGGGTGCTTGATTTGAGGGTAATTTAGTCATTTTAGAAAGAAGATTCCAATGAAGCGTGTGCCAGTTGTTCTCCCAACTAGGACGCGCAGCGGGGAGCGCTGCCTGGCCCTACCCAGTAGAGCATGGCCCACAAACGACAGCCCGGCTAGAGCCCGTGCCTGCCCAATTTGGCTCGGCCCTGCCCTTTTTTGTTAAATCTGTTTTTTTTTTTTTCTTCATCCCAATCAAGCTTGAGCCAACCGTATTGGGGTACTGGCCGGGCTAGGTCCCATTGTCACCCTTAATCCTACGCAGTGTTTGACAAACTGGTTGGGTCAAACCAAACCCAGATGCGTTATACCGGGTACCCGGCGTATGTCAGGGTCCGGTTAATCCCGGTTTTGGTGGCCAAGTTCCCTAGTTTGAAAAAAAATTAACAAAAAATTATTAAAAAAATTTAAAATAAAAAATTTATTTGTAATGTGTTTTTATATGTTCTTTATCATTTTGATAAAAATTAAAAATTATTTTGGTCAAAAATACTTATTTTTATATTTTATTTTTTATTAAATTATTTCTAAAATACTCCACAATCTATTTTTTACAAATTTAGTTAACAATCATTTAAGTGTGTTTTGTTTAATTTTATTTTAAATATTTTTCCATATTTTTTGGGATTCTTTTTAGATTTTTTAGTTTTCAAAAGACTGTTTAACCTAGCTGGTACCCGCCTGAGTTGGCCCGTTGCCCAAACTGATTCAGGGTTATACGGACCCGGTCCATGGCTGGGTTCCGCGGCCGAGTAAAGGAATCCTACGCTGCTCCCCAAAAGCCACCTAGTCTCAGAGATCTGAACGACACCGATCTAATTGTTAGTTAGTAATCACCTATAATTTATTACTCCAAATTATCTTATTGGTGACCGACAGTTTAACTAATAAATATAGTATCTTCTTTTCATTTCTGGCCACGTGCTTGTACGATATATCTCATCTTTCTTTCAATATTATATAATATCCCGGAGATAAAATGTTATTAGGATTATCTTAAAATATATTTTTATATCTAATTATAAAATTTTAAATTTCAAAAATAGTTAAAGGGTGTCATTTGTATAGAACCTAGGTTCTAAACAATCAAATTAGAACCTATCTTCAAATAATGTTGAAAATTGCGGTTTCAATATTGGAAATCTCTGTGATAGCTTCAAAATATATTTTCATCTTTATTTATAAAGTTTAAAGTTTCAAAAATAATGCATATCGACATATCTATAAAAACTTGAAAATCTTGAAAATTGACAGTTCAAAAACACATTACAAAATACACTATTTTCAAAACTTGAAATCCATTTTTTTCTCATATCCATGCATTTTGACGTCGAGATGATTGATTTGAGGATATTTGAGCATCAAAACAACATCTTCTAATGAAAGTTTTGAGGTAAGCTCAAATTTGATTATTTAGAGCCTCGGCTCTATATAAACTTTTCCCATAGTTAAAATCAAATAGATTTATAAACATATGAAAATCTTGAAAATGAACAGTGTAGATAATATGTTGTAAAATGCACTATTTTTTAGACTTAAAATCTTTTTACTTTTTATAGTCATACATCTCGATGTCCAGATGATCAATCAAAGGGTTTTTCAACATTAAAACTACCTTTTCCGATGGATTTTTGAGGGGGCATATGTAGTTCTAGATTATAAGGTAGCATCCTTATCTAAACCTTTTCTTTAATTTATTTACTAAAATGTAGTACTTCTCTTTTGTCTTTTTCATTTTTTCTTTTTTTTTGTTGTTGTGGTTGCTGTTGTTGTTGTTGTTCTTTATAAATTGATGTCTCTATTGGAATTCATTACAATAGATGTTTTTCTTAAAAATAGAAATCCTCAAATATATTTTTTTTTTGTTTTTATTTTTGGTATTTTAGTGGGATTACATGCTTCTCCCCATTTTATAAAGGGAAAAATGCATATAAGGTCGCAACCTTCAAATGTAGAATTACATATACACCTCAAAAATCTATTGGAAAATGTTATTTTAATGTTGAAAAACCCTCTAATTGATCATCTCGATATCGAGATATAAAAATTTGAAAAAAAAAGAAAAAAAGATTTTGCATCTCAAAAATAGTGCATCTTGCAACACATTATCTAGACCGTCCATTTTCAAGATTTTCATATGTTTATAGATCTTCTTGATTTTAACCATTTTTGGATTTTAAAATTTTATAATAAGATATAAAAATAGATTTTAAGATAATATTAATAATTTTGTACACCAAAATTACATGTTATGATAAAATTTAGAGGTGCGCCCTAATTGGATTGTTTAAGGTTGCAACCTTATAGAAACCACACCCTTTTATAAATATTTAGGTGGTGAGGTTAGTTTTCGAAGTTATCTGTGGGATTGAATTTTATAAATGGTTAGGTAGTTAGGCTGATTTTTGAAAGGTAAAATTGAAAGACACGAAGTGGGACCGAGGTACGAAGCGTCGAAGTTGTACATTTCCAAAGACTCTTAACGTGGAAATTTATTCTTTCTTTTGTCCTTTGCTGGAAGTTGTCTTTTTCAATTGTGATTAGATTATTTCCTCAA